GGCCCACTCCGTAAATCCCCGCGGCCGCTGTCCCCCCGCCATTCTCAGTGACAGGCCTGGCCTGGCATGGGCAGGCCCCGGCCGGGAGCCGGGAAGCGGGGTCAGTGCCCTCCTCCTCTCTCCTCACTCCCGGACAAAGCACCTTTTCCAGTTCCTTTGTCCTGACTTAAATAGGGCAATTCGCAGAGGCGATAATTGGCTCAACCTCGAGGGGGATGGGAGCCCGATCCGGTGGCCAGAACTGGGTCTGACCCGGCTCCAAAACCAGGGAAGTCACAGGGAACAAATCCCCTCTCCTGCCACCAGAACCCCCCTACATCAAACCATCACAGGTGATAATAAAATAGAATTCAAGGGGAAAAAGCAATGAGGCCAATGCTGTATGAGCAGAAACACTCAGAAATGACTCTGTTTTCTTCTGTTTGTGTGTTAGAAAAGCTCTTGAATACTATTTAAAGATTTGGCATTTTATTTTCCCTGAATTCCTAATGGAATAAGGAACAGTACATCTATGCTATACTATGTCTTTAAACATAATTTTTTCTTCCAGGCATCTAACCCAGGGCAGTTTGAGAATGACAGTGATATACTGTGGCAGCGAGGACATGTTCCAGAGACTATATTCTATCATGGTCGAGTAGGAATTAACACAGATGCGCCAGATGAAGCACTGGTTGTCTGCGGAAATGCAAAAGTTATGGGCAGAGTCATGCACCCATCTGACAGCCGAGCAAAACAGAATATCCAGGAGGTGAGGGCTGTGGAGTATTTAGGGCATTTGCACCACAGCACGTGTGTGGATCATTGTTCTGACATGTGAAGCAGCTTTTTTATCCTGGGTGTGCTGAAGTGCTATCCTAAAGAAATCAGGTGTACCAATGTGCTCTGCAGGGCCATTGCCTATGGACCTTGGAAGAGGCTGACCATAGAAGCTGCAGATACATGTGTAAATGAGAGCTGAAGGGTAGCTGGCAATACAAATAGCACTCTGCTAATTGGGAACGGGAAGATTGTCCATATATTTTCATGTGAAGGTTGGCCAAGTGGCCGTGTCAGGCTTGTTGCTATCTCAGTGATGTCTTAGATGCCATGACCGTTCTTAATGTTTCAATATATGAATCTTGGTATTTGTCCAACTAGGTCGATACGAATGAGCAGTTGAGAAGAATAACACAAATGAGGCTGGTGGAGTATGACTACAAGCCTGAATTTGCATCTGTTATGGGAATAAAAAATATCCATGAAACAGGTATTTAGTCAGCTCTGTTCCCATTTTTCATTAACTTCCACTGTTGTTCATAATGCCATAACGCCTTTTAACACCTTGCTATTTCATCCTCATTTCTTAGGATACTACAATTGCACACTTTGCTCTCTTTCTCTTATGATATAGAAATGCCAAAATTGAGTATTTCTGGGAGTTTTCCAACTTCAGGTTCAATTTTCAAAGACAGGAGGTTATTTTTCCAGAGGTTTAATGAGAATGAAGTATGCGAACACAAATAATTTTGTTTTTATTGCAGAGAAATGGGACTTCTGAAGGTTTCTGTTTATTTTCTGTGGAATGGAAAAAAAAAAAGTGACAACCTCGATTAAAGCACACAGCCATGGTCAGTGGTATGCCACTGTGTTTCCTGACTGTAGTTTCTGTTATCTTCTGAACAGGAATAATAGCCCAGGAAGTGAAGGAGCTTTTACCTCAAGCTGTTAGAGAAGTTGGAGATGTTGCTTGTAATGATGGAGAAAAAATAGAAAACTTCCTCATGGTTGACAAGGTATGATCTTGAGAGAGGAAGTGGAGGTGTGCATTTAGACTATTTCATATTTAGCCCTTTGGTATATGGAGCTATAAACACACACTATGCTTTATACAAAGATGTAGGCCTGCACATGTGTTTACAAAAATAGTATTTGGCAAATCATTGAGAAACACTGAACCACCAGATGTTACTAAATGGCAGAATATTTTAACCACAAAAAGTATTTACATTAAAATCTTGTTATAGTAATAAATAAACATACAATGAAAGAGAAAAGAAAAAAAAACACACTTTGCTGAATAAAGGTGGATAGTGACTTCATAGCACTGGTCCAACAAGTGGGACTCCAAGACATTCTTCTGTGTTTAAGTTAATTAAGTGTTCCAGAAGTGAATTAAGCAATGATGGTGTTTTATCTGTTAAGTAAAAACTTCCTTACTCTAATCCTGGTGTAATCACTTCATACCAATTACAGACGCTAGCTCTGTGGGAAGGCTTTCTTTGGCCATATGAAATCCTTATTAATAGCTTCAAAATCATATACTATAAAATGTTTATGGCACACAAAGTAATTACCATGCTCATAGGTCAGAAACAATGCTTTAGTCTATTGTCTTGTGCTCTCTTCCTCTGTTCCTATAGAAATAGGACTGCAAGGGACTGTCAGTCAGAGAGTCCACTCACACGTGACTGCAGATAGTCCTTCTCCAGAACGTTGCTCAGAGCGGCCCCTCTGTTGTGTGCTGATTCACTGCAGGTCAAGGACCAGTTCCCAGCTTTTTCCCGCTTATAGTCGATGATGGGAAGAGGGAGATTTTACAGAATAGCAACCTTGTCTTGGCTGGTTGATGTCATGAACACGATCCTGTATTCATTATAATCATGCATGCTTTCGTTATTCTGTAGAAAACACAAGTTTACGCCACCAAACTTGGAGAAAGTATCTGTAAGAAATATTGCATTTCACTTGTCTTCTTTTAATAGGCCACATATAATTTAAATTAGTGGGTTAAATCTGCTAGGCTGTATTCCATAGAAAGGAAGCATAAATTAGACACTTCGAATAAAGCTGTGGAAAGAGCACTTTCTAGAGGTACTGTTGAAAATGAGACTTTGAGAAAGTTTGCTGTATTTGGTCAGGGTTCCAGCCTGTAGCTGATTTTTAGATGGTCACAGAAGGGCAGTGACGTTAGTGACGTTAGGTTCATTTTGCCCTTTAGCCCTTCCTGTTACATTGTGTGACAGCTGCAGCATCATTTGCATTTTTAACCTCCCACAAAACTGCTTTGCTAGGATGTGCTCCAGGGATGTGACCTAGCAAATGGAGAAAGCCTACTGCACTTTGCAGGGTGACACGGATGTGGCCCAAGCAGCAATGATTTGTTATAGCAATGGCTTATTTACTACTTAACTTTTTTTTTTGCCACTTGGCTAGGTCTGAGCTCACTTCACAATCACTTTGACATTGTTTTAATACAGTTAGGTAAGCAACTGCAGTGCAATCTGTGCTTTCTCCTCTTTCTCCTAACACCTGTGGCAGAGCATGTGAATGTCAATTCTGTGACTTTTGGAGAGACAGCAGCAGGAGACACCTATGTCTAACAGTTTAAGATGTATATTGAATTCAGAGCTTTGGGACATCTGATGTCTCAGGTGGAATATCTGCTTTACGTATCTGGAGCTCCCAACTCCAGAATAGCTCAACACCTTGACTAGTAAATGGGCAGTGCTTCATATCTTTGCTTTCACTTTAGGCAGGTGATGAGGCCTTGAATTTTGTTATCTCACCTTCCAAGTTTAGTTCCAGATAAGCAGGATATTGACTGGTTTGGTTGTGTCTCTTTGTCAGTCACCTGTTTGACGTTGTTGAACTCTGTAAAATTAAAATTGATTGCATCACACATTTGAACCAGGCTCTGCTACTTTCTAGAGAAATTTCTCAACCATGTAGAAATTTGCTATTTTGGGACAAGAATCTTTCTTACCTTCTCAACCCCACTGTGCTCAGTAGTTTGTAATCAGTGAGGCAGTAAAACTCTCATCAGTCTTTTTTTCCCAAAGAAAGTATTCCTTGATTTTGCCAGACAAGCCATCTTCTTAGCTACTTGAAGCCACCTAGAAGAGATTTATCCATAATTTGAAGAGAATGGAAGGGGCAACTGCTGCATATCATTGATATGAGGACAAGCGACCGCATAAATGGTTTCACAGTTCTAGGCACAGGAGGTTATTTTGAAGTAACTTTTTAATTAAACAAGCTGTTGATCTTCTGGCAGTAGAGAAGTTTACAGCTGACCACCGATATCTGTGCTCTGGTTCTGTTTATACAAAATACTGTCTGTTTTTGTGGAATGCAGTCACCTTTAAAAGAAAGGTGCACGTGGCATTTACAACATGAAAAGCAAAACTCCGCTTTTGCCTTACTTCTGCATGACTTGGCTGGACTGGAACACTTAGCATCATTAACTGCAGTAATAGCTTCATCCAAAGTTTAATGGCATCAGTCTGGTTGTACATTAGTATGAGAAAGCTGTTCTTTCCAACACAGCAAAGAAAGTATGCTGTTACTGTGCTCCTGCAGTGGATCAGTAACAATTTTTGACTCAGAAATGGATAAAATTCTTATTACCTGGATGGTTGTAGTGAGGGCATCTCCAGCAGCAGATTGTTACCTAGATAATAAGCAGTGGGTAGAACAATAAGTGGCTTTTCCTGGGTAAAAAATTCAGATGGATTAAATGGAGGATGTCTGAACTGTGTTAGCTGAGGAGCTGATCATGATATTAAAACTTACAGGGCTCCTGTAAAAGGCTCGAGAGGTTAAAGGGGAGAACAAAATATCATGCCATCACAGCTTTATGTCTGGTTTGGATCTTTCCCTGTCTCACTGATTCCTATGGGATTCACGTTATGTGTACAACATGGACAGCAACTCTGGCTTGTCTGAGCCAGGTTTGTCAATCCTGTAGATAGATGGTTGGATGTACATTTTGCTAACGGATTCTGAAATCTATGTTCAGCTGCAGCACTACAAATCTAGTAGTAGATGCCTGTTGTGACAGTGTTAAAGGTTTAAAATTTAACACAGTATGAAGGTAAGATATAGTTTAAATTCTTGGCCTACAAAGCCCTTTAGCTTCTTCAAATTTTTCTGCAAGTCTTCATTTTCAATTTACTGCAAATTGACCATAAGCAATTTTTACCATCTAGCAAAAGGGTTTTATAGTCATAAAGTGGGTCCCATTTACAGTGAGATAACTCGTGCTTGCATTTTAAGTATTCGATGTGTCCTTACATAGGTGAATTCTGTACTCGTTACTGCTTGTTACATCTGATTGATGAATATACTGTATCTATTTTTTTCATTGTTTTGCTTCTCAGGATCAGATCTTTATGGAGAATGTTGGTGCTGTAAAGCAGCTTTGTAAGCTAACCAACAATCTTGAAGTCAGGATAGAAGAATTGGAACAGTGGAATAGGAAACTGGCCAGGCTGAAAAGGATGAGCAGTTTAAAGTCTACGGTCAGTGAAGAGAGCAAAGTCAGGTACCTCTCTAGAATGTTCTCTGATAGTTGTCACAGAAATTGGTGAAGTGTGTTCTACCACAGAGATGCAAACCAATTTTGCTTGACAGTGGAGTTCAGCTCATTTCCAGCATTTAATTTGTGCAAAAATTGCAAATTTATCATATTTTATAACTCACTGACAAAACTAGTATTTGGAATGGCTGTAAAATTTCAGTGATTTTTGCAATTGCTTCAGTTACATAAAGCAAGGGTAGATTATGTCTAGTTACAGCCCCAGAGCTTGGAAGGTGATGCTAAGAGAAATGTGCACTGCTTCTTCTGCAAGAAAGAATCTTTATTAGTGCTTCAGTGGAAGTGATGGACGTTTCCTATTTCTAAACCATTTCCCTAAGTTTTCTTTGAAATCAAATGTAGCATTTAATAGCATTCACCCGAATGAGTTAACTGGAGGCCTTTGTTCTTTAAAATGAATCTGATGACACTTCTGCCTTTCTCTTTTTAAATGTTAAAATTGCAAAAACAAGTGACATTTACACCTATTGTAAATGTCTCTTTTTCATTTATTAGTTGCTGAAACATTTGAATGTTAAAGAGATCTTGTCTCTTACAGCAGGTATAGTCGAGCTACTAGTCTTTTGCCATCAAAAAAATCAGTTCTGCTAAAATCCAGCAAGGTGAGTAGAATTAATTATACGAAATGTGCCTATGAGATAGTTTTTGTAAGTGCTGAAATATTGGTGAAAGCATTCATGCTTCTAAATATAGAATCAAATTCCTTAGCCAGAATTATCTAGTTTCATGCTAGAATCTTGAAAACTAACTGTGCTGAGATAGAAAATACAGATAAGACACTTCCACTTCTTGCCTATACGTTCTGTGTGTGAGAGTAGATCCATACTGTGTAATGGTGCAAAGGAGGAGACCTCAGCAGGAGAGAATTGTTGAGCCTGTAGGTGTGCTCACATAGTGTACTGCAGCCTTATGC